GTACCTAAATGAAAAACATATAATATTTTATGTAGTGCTTTTTTTCTTGTGCGCTTTTTTTTGTGTGCTTATTTCCGGTTTGTTTTTGACTAAACTCAATTTCAAATTACGTTACTCTACACCTCCAGTTTAGGATGCCCCTGATAAAAAATTTCGACATTTGATATTTGAAATCATTTATCTATTCTAAAATGTTGAGAAAATAACATTAAAAAACGCACCCTTTATAGTTTTTTAAGACACTTTTGTCCTAAAAGTCAATATTCCATCACCTGTTTAAATTTGTAACAATACAAACGGAACACACTACATAAAGTTACAAAATAAAACACAACATTTAGGAACATAAGGCTCGCCGGACCCTAATTCTTAAACTTTATAAAAAAAAATTAATTAAATTTCATAAATGTAACATATCAGAAATTTCGCTTACTCAACAAAAGTTTAACAAACAACAATAATAACGACCAAAATAAAAAACTCTAAATATGAATCAATTTTTCGTTTTCACAACAGTTTTGCTTATACACTTTTGATCAAGAAAAATATGTGGAATCTGCACCTTATTTTTTTATCAAAAAAACATTATTAGACCATCAAAGCGGTTTTTTCTGTAATGTGGGGTAAATCGGGGAGATATAGATCACATTTTGAAAAACCTGCTGTAAAATTATGATCTTTATTACAAACCGCTTTTTTTTTTCTCATAGCTTGAACTTTAAGACAACTAAAAGTAACAAACACATTCTTTTAAATGCCTATACTACGTATAAAAATAATATTTTTTCTGTAAAAACCCATCTGTTTTTTTACACTGAGAGGGTGAGACGGACCATAACAATAACAATGTTGTTCTTAACAATGTTGTTGTTGAAACAATAATCATTATTGAGACAAATCTGTATCTTGTTTTGCCAACATTGCAATTTTTTTATAACCGATTGAAGCAGCATTTCTTAATCACTTGCTTACATATGTATACAATTTTTTTTTTTGCTTTGTTAGGTATATATCTCTCAAATCTGCGTTATGCATCAATTAAAACTATTTTAATTATGTATGATTTATTAAACTTTTTTTTCCAAATGACAACCTAACCCACATAATAATCCACAACTAACGAAACCACAAATCATATTTTGTTTTTGAATTTTAATTGCGGTATTAGATTTTTGAATTTATATATAGATATTTGACCAAAATTTTATCATTTCCTTAATCCACAATGAAAAAAATGTAAATTTTGCACATTCGTAAAGATGTCATGATGCAATTAATTTTGTGTTAAAGGGTGCTAAATAGAAGTGATTTCATTTTTAAGCAATCATAACTCTGTTTTTATTGTATACTTTTTTTATTTTTGTTTTCTTTTTAAAATATGAATTAGGTGTACTATTTTATATAGAATAAATTAAATACCTAGGAAAATATATCCGTAAATTTATCTTTCTAATAAATTCTTATATTTAAGTTGAAAAAAGTGTCATTAATTCGGGTTCTTTACATTCGTTTCATAAAAAGTGTAGAATCGTAATTCGTAAAATTCTTTTTGTATAGACACCTTCATTCCTGGATTTTTGAATACTTGGATAATTTTCAAAAAAAGTTGATTTTTGTAAAACACAAATATTTAATACTTCTTTGGAGTGCCGAAAATGGCAGAAGTTTTGTCGTTTTAACTTTTTCAAGATAGATATTGTATTTCTTTATTTTTCTTAACAAATACAAAAAAAAGGCCATAATTTTTTTTACATAATTTTTTTTTTAATTACAAGTGCAATGTAATGATTTTCTTATTTTTTTGCAAAACAAATATTTTGCAACAGGTGCTGTAGGTGAAGTGCTAAATAGAAGTGATTTTATTTTTTAACAATCATAACTTTGTTTTTAGTTTATACTTTGTCTTTTATCATATTTTACTTCCATTTTTGTTTTCTTTTAAAAATGAGAATTATATTTACTATTTTATACACAATAAATTAAATACCTAGGAAAATATATTCGTAAATTTATTTTTTCAATAAATTCTTAAATTTAAACTGAAAAAAGTGTCATTATTTTGGGTTCTTTTACATTCGTTTTATAAAAAGTGTAGAATCGTAATTTGTAAAATACTTTTTGTAGACAACTTCATTCCTGGATTTTTGAATACTTGGATAATTTTCGAAAAAAGTTGATTTTTGTAAAACACAAATATTTAATACTTCTTTGGAGTGCCGAAAATGGCAGAAGTTTTAGTCGTTTTAATTTTTTCAAGATAGATATTGTATTTTTTATTTTTCTTAACAAATACAAAAAAGGCCATATTTTTTTTTACATAATTTTTTTTATAATTACAAGTGCAATGTAATGATTTTTTTACTTTTTTACAAAAAAAATATTTTGCAAACACACAACAGGTGCTGAAGGTACAGTGCTAAACAGAAGTGATTTTATTTTTTAAGAATTATAACTTTGTTTTCAGTTTATACTTTGTCTTTTATCATATTTTATTTCAATTTTTGTTTTTTTTTAAACATGAGAATTATATTTACTACTTTATACACAATAAATTAAAGACGTAGAAAAATATATCCATAAATTTATTTTTCTAATAAATTCTTAAATTTAAGTTGAAAAAAGTGTCATTAATTCGGGTTCTTTTACATTCGTTTCATAAAAAGTGTAGAATCGTAATTCGTAAAATTCTCTTTGTAGATAACTTCATTCCTAGATTTTTGACTAGGTACTTGGATAATTTTCGAAAAAAGTTAATTTTTGCAAAACACAAATATTTAATACTTATTTGGAGTGCCGAAAATGGCAGAAGTTTTAGTCGTTTTAATTTTTTCAAGACAGGTATTGTATTTCTTCATTTTCTTAATTTTTCTTATGCAATACAAAAAAAAATTTACATAATTTTTTTAAAAATCACAAGTGCAAGGTAATGATTTTCTTACTTTTTTGCAAAAAAAATTATTTTGCAAACACACAACAAGTGCCGTAGGTGAAGTACTAAACAGAAGTGATTTTATTTTTTAACAATCATAACTTTGTTTTTAGTTTATACTTTGTCTTTTATCATATTTTACTTCTATTTTTGTTTTCTTTTTAAAATGAGAATAATATTTACTATTTAATACACAATAAATTAAAGACGTAGAAAAATATAATCATAAATTTATTTTTCTAATAAATTCCTAAATTTAAGTTCATTAATTCGGGTTCTTTTACATTCGTTTCATAAAAAGTGTAGAAACGTAATTTGTAAAATTCTTTTTGTGTACAACTTCATTTCTGGATTTTTTACTACTAAAAAAAAATAATTTTTGCAAAACGCAAATGTTTAATACTTTTTCGGAGTGCCGACAATGGCAGAAGTAAAATACTTTTTCTTAATTTTTCTTAATAAATATAAAAAAGAGGCCCTCAAAATTTGCATTTTCTTTTTTTTACAAAAAAATTGTTGAGACTACAAGTGCAATGTAACAATTTTCTTACAGTTCTGAAAAAAAATATTTTTCGAGCACACAACAGGTGCTGTAGGTAAAGGTAATAAGGTCAGGCCCGTAATTTGGCTAATTTGCTCTAAGAATTGTGTTATTAGACGACAGATGTAAGTATACGTGTTTTAGTACGCCCACTTAAACTAAAATTGTTGTTAATAATTAATGATTTTCCGACCTCGACTTTGATGCGAATTTTGGTTTCAAGTGGTGGTGTGGTAATTGTTCTATGTCGGTGATTTCGGCGGGCTCGTTTTTTTTATGTAAATGCGTCTGAGCTTACAAAATAGACAACTGCAATGTTGTTTTTATAACAAGCCTCGGAACCACACGCGATCAATTTGAGAGTCGATCAGCTGCTCAGGGGGCAGACAATGAAAATTTATTGTTTTGGTATCGGCATGCATTCAAAATTGTTAATAACATCATCACTTTTCTCGACTTTTCCTCCAACATTCCTTAATTTGATGATACCAAATCGTTAGCTTGATTGTTCTAGGTCATTATTATGTGTTTAATGTTTTGCCAAGCAGGTCGTTTAATTTGTGTAGTGTAGAGTGGCCCGCATACTCGAGAGCGATTGTGATACAGTGGGCGTGGAAGTTCTTAGTGCTGCTTGCCGACCAGGTAAAACCTATGATTGCTGCTTACCTGACAGCTGGTGATCTATTCTCCAACATTAATGGTCCCATGTTCATTTAGTGCACGGTATGAGACGCACGTTATACTTAATAATATCACGATTTTTTACAAATACTACAACCCTACACCCAACACACCACTAATCGATCCACAACAAATTATACCCCAGACCCAAATAATTCAAATACCAAGTTTTAGCCGATTCGGATGCACATTTTGGACTCTTTGGAGGTCGGGAAATTTCTTATTACATCCCGTAATTGTGATTTAGCGTTCACAAACCTCTGATGATGTCCAGCGCATGTGATGAAACGTATTACAGGTATAGGAAGTTACATAAAATTCCCGTCAGTTAAGTACCTCGCAGTTGTAAACTTGGAAGCCATTATCGCGGATATAATTTTTATTACAGTTGCTCGACCGGCGAGCATCTCACGACAAGAATCCATGCTTTAAACATTTTCAAACAATGGATCCATTAAATAAATTAAACAAATTATTTACAGGATGTATCACCTAACAATTAAATGTCAAATCGTACCATCAACTAATAACTAATTACTATTATTATAAATAAGTCGAAAGGCTTAGCTCCGGAGTTTAATTATTGTTTATAACAAGTTGTGACAAATTAAAAATTTATTCTTGTGTGAAAGTGGTGATGTATTGTAAATATTAATTTGCATAACAAAATTTTTGAAACAAGACACTTATGTAACATTATCAGGTTGTGAAATATTGTAAGTGATCATTTTTAAATTGTCTCAAATTTCGTCTCTTGGAGTATCCACCTTGTAGTGATATCTGTTGGCAGGCTTGTAAACCAAGCATCAAAGAGGGCACCACTGTGCCAACTTGTAATTTCCTGTTAAAATCAGCTGATAATGACAGCGAATGAAAATAAACAAATAGTAAAAACGCAGTTTCATTGTTGATGTTAGCAGAAGTACAGAATGAAGTGATTTGAACGTTAACATCGTGAACGAATTTAGAATTGAGTAAGGAAAGTTCAGCAAACGACATTTTGCACAAAAAAAGTTGACATATTGTTGCTTTGTTAGGTAAAACTATTATGTTTTTGTATCAAAAAACTAATGTTTTTTCTTTAATTATAGACAATGAGCAAGGAGAGTGTTCCCGAATTAACGAAATCATGGGTTTTTGTGGACCCCACAAGTGGGGTACAAGAAGTTACCGAAAATGAGCCTCACGATTCCGACACAGACAGTATTAGCGTTATCAGTGAAAGTGGTTGTTCGTACAAGACAGACGACGAGGAATTCGCCTCAACCTCTTTTGAGGAACCAGAAATTCCAGTTGGTGAGTCTGAGGAACCCCCCGATGTGCCCGATTTGCATCCACTTGAGTCCCTCGACGAGAATAAGAGCATCGAAAAATTCTTCTATTTTGCAACAAGCGCCGTTTGCGCTGTTATCATAATCGGGTTCTCAGTTGCCGTGCAACAATACCTTAACAATTCTTCGGATGTTGATAATTTTGAGCCGGATTTCGCGTATCAAAATGTCAAAACAGACGCCCCAAAAAAATACATCCCCAAGCGGAAAAGTCACTTGAAATTAGAAGAATTAGAAAATAAGTTTGCTAAATTAGAAGTAGAGAAGCATGACAAAATCGCTAGAGACAATGACCCCCGAGCCGAGGGAAATCTCAAATCTATTTATAAACTTAACAAAAATAAATGTAACAAAGAAAATTGCGACGCAATAGAAAATCGACACGACGAAACGTACGATAAAAAAATCAAGGAATTGAAAGTGAAAGAGGATTATCTCAGAGAAAAGGAAAAGTTTCTCATCGAAAAAGAACATGATTTATTGAAGAAGGAAATCAAACTTAACAGAGAGAAAGAAAATTATGACAATACTAAAAAAGAGGAAAATAAACATGACAAGAAAAGACATTACGAGGATGATGATATAAAAAAGTACCGTCCGAATAAAGATTGCAAGAAGTCGACTCACAAGAAACAGAAAGTGGATGAGCAGCACAAAAAACGGAATATTTCCGGGCAATGGTATATAAACATGCACGAGGGAAGGGATAATATGCGACAGAAAAAACGCTCATTGTTTAAAAAAAATAAAGCGCATTGGTACTTCCAGTGGATGGTGGATAGAGCAAGACTTCGAGTTAAGTGAGATTAAAATCTATTTTTCTAAATTGTCACTTTGCATTTTATTTTGACATTTTATTTGAGTATTATTTTTGAATTGTGAAACTTTTTGATTATTTTAATAAAGACGGACTTAAAATATTGAAAGTGTTTTATTCGAATGGATGGGGTGGGTGAGGGTAAATAAGAATCACTTGTATGAAATAAACCCTCTGATTTATTCTTAAAATTAAGGTCATACAATCGCTTCTTGTTAAGCATACTACTTAATAATAGTAATAATAATAGTAATAACCACTACTGACGTTTACACGTCCAACAATTGAATCAAAAATATCAATGGCACTGGTTAAATATCACCCGATTCTATAAGTATATGCGTAAGTAACAAATACTTTTGTTATTTATTTACGGTATAATTGTAACATTGGAGTACATGAGTAAATTTTCCAAATTATTAGATCTTCACATGTGTTGACTAAACAAATTACCTAATAGTAGTATTGTATTAGTGATTAAAAGCTTGAATTAGTTAAAAAATATGAGTACAGACCTGGTTAAGTATTAATGTTTAAAGCTTGAAAACAATTGTACTACAATTACGTATTAAGTAAAGTAAATATTAGACGGTATATTTTCGTTTCCGTTTTAAATTTAGTATAAAAAATCTACAACTCTAACTTCATACACCGAGTTAGTTATTGACTTGGATGTTACGATGGATGGATATACGCGATGGATTTACATTATATATCACAATGTTATATTTCTTAACCAATAAGCTTTTGAATTTCGTCAATGAAGGTCTAAAAATTTGTACTAAGGAAAAGGGAAGTAAACGAAATGCAGAGTGCCCAGAAGAGCAATACTTGTTAATCAGAGCGGAGGGATAGGTACATCAGTCGGGGTCACTCTGCTATACGCGACTAGAAATGAGAGAAGATAAAGGAGTCGGGATGAGCATGACGTGGGGGACGCCCGGGACCTGTCCGTCGCACCCTTCGCTCGGCCGCGGCTGCTTTAAAGGTACTCAATCACAGTAGATTTAACAACCGACACGACCACAACGACAGAGCCCCCAAAAAAACCCTCTCATCTACCAAGCACCAAGCACCAAACCCAAAAGGGCTCTGTCGTTGTCTGGTGACGCAATATACAATAGTATATATAAATATATGTTATATACATGTGAACTATAATGCCATTTGGTGCAGCTGGCAACTCACGTATAGTCGTAATATACAGTTGAGCTGGCGTTGCGCTGTGAGCAAGCTCGGTTATAACGTCTCTAATATAACTAAGCTACGGTAACAGTAATATTATTGTAATACTAAGGCACAGACCCAGCTCATAACTTGTTCGCTCGACAAGCACGTTTGTGGAAGACAAACATCGCTGGATATTCTACCCAACTTGGGGGCACAGCCTCCCCAACGCCATCTCCCACCAACCCCAAAATTATTGCCCACGCAACCAAAACCAATCTGGTGATTTTTGTAAAAATCCGATTTTTTAAATAATTTTTTTAATCGTGTATTTGCCCAAACATTTAGTAAAATTAACTTTTTCGTGTAATTGTCAAGAACCAAAATTTAATTTTTTAATTATTTATATACGAGTTGTAAATGAAGTCAAAAATAATGACACTTTTTTGTTTTTTTGAGCGTTTTGTACGTTTTTTTAACCACAAACACAATTATTTTGAAAAAATAATTCGGAAATTCACTAGATTAGTTAATTTTTTTGAGATTTCACTCAAAAATCGCTAAATTGGGTTCAAAACAAAACAAAACTATTTTGAAAAATTTCGTTAAAAACAAACCAAGAATTTACAAAATTTTTAGGCCAAAATTGGCATTTTTTAACTTTTTTGAAATAAATACGAAGTTTTTAAAAAAATGTTAAAACTGACTAAAAATTTACCAAATTGGGTTGAAATTG